AGGCTTTCCACATGTAGCCTGCTGCTAAAAGACTGGTGCAGCTCTTGCTGCATGCTGCTGTTGCAGTCTTCTGCCTAATTACTACCTGTCACTCTAGTGTAATGTTTGTACTGTTGTTTACTTTAAAGCAGATTAACTCAAGAGTGACTTGGGCCACTTTACCCACCCAGTGCCATCTATTCTGGTTTGTTTTCTTGGTTGACCCAGCTCTGAAAGGGACACGGACTCAAGAGTTCCTGAGGTCCCTTCTAACCTTAGTTATTTTGTTACTCTATGATTAAGCGATGTCACTGAAAGATGTCATCACGCTTCAACAGAGAGTCTTCCTTTTATAGTTCCTTTTATATTCCACTGTGTAGTGGAATAGAATCACAAACAAAAGCAGAAGAGTGTGATGGCAGGCATGGAATTCAGTATGCATTGTACTGAACAGTAGTGTCCTGGGTTGGTTGGTTGTTTTTTTAATGTCGAATATTCTGTGTTTTCAATGGTATTATGCCTACTGTGGAAAACCATTTCTTAAGGAAGTATTTAGTGCTTCCTGACAGCTCAAATTCTGTTACCACTTGAGCATAGCAGGTTGACAGGTTCTTACTGCCTTTGAAGGTTTTCATTTGCCTAGGGAGAACATGTCTTTTTCTCCCACCCTTTGCTGATGGTGTGATCACAGGGAGCTGAAGTGTATTTTACATTTGTTGGTTTTGGATACTAAATCATTTGTTTGGAGTTATAGTCCCCCTTAATTATAGACATTAATGACACAACTGACATTTTTTAGAAGGGCAAGATCCCGAGACTAATCAAGGGCGCTAGTGAGGCTTTTACATGAAATCACTGATGTCCTCTACAAGTGCCTTGACTCACATTGCTTCTGTTAAAAAAGGAAACCTAGGATCAATTTTATGCAAATGATTAACTGTAAAGTCAAGAAAAGTTATTCTCCTTTTGATAATACTTATTTAAGGTTAAAGTGATACCAAATCAAACTCATGGCAACAGGTTAACACCAGCATTGGCCTGGAATAAAAATTCTCTCCAGCATTAAGCTTTTTTATGAACACAGTATATCAACCTGTGTAAATCCCAGGAAGGAACTCAAGGAAGAGTTCAGTGACCTGAAAATCCCGACTACAGTATTTTACCAAAGGCAGCCAAGTTAAAGGGTCAAATAAGGAAACCAAAATAAATTTTGTGTCTGAACTCCTGCATTACAGTGACTGTAAAGCCTCCTTGTAAGCTATCTGGTCCTCTACAAATTTCTTCACTACTTCTCTCTGTAGTTCAGGTCACTGCTGATGCTTTGGCAAATGAAGTTTGGCAGCTCTTGGATGGCAGTTTCTAGCTCAATGGTTTTTACTTTTTCAGGTTGCTCGGAGACTAGAGAACATGCTTTATTGAGTAGCTATATGAGGCTGTTCAGGACTGTAGAGCTTCTCCTCCTGGTGGACTTTTTTGTACTACTTAGATGTGCACAGGACAAGTTATATTTTTATACCCCTTATGCCTCTGCTAGAAAATAAAAAACTGAAAGAGGTTGCGAAGGAGATCATTATCATGAGGTGTTTTCAGTTTGTCAGTGTTGCTATCTCTGCACAGAACAAAGCTTCCAACCCCTGCTCAGTCTGAAACCAAAAAGAACAGAAGTTAGCTTTCTGATAAAGCTCTGTCCCTCTCCTCCAGCTTCCTTGTGGCTGCATCCTGCCTGACATGTTACTGGCTTGAGGAAAGCTCACCAACAAACTAGGAAAAGTAAGAGATAGCAAAGATCCAGCTGCTTGGCATTTGAGTTTCAAAATGCAAAAACAGTATAAACATCTTCTAGGCAGATAGCACAATTCTCTTAAAGAAGAGGAGCTGACTCTGCACTTGAGGGAGTCAGGAATACTGCTCAGTATTACTTCTTGTCTGCAATCTCCCTATTTACTTTCTTCAGATTTAACAAGAGGCAGGAAAATTTGCTTGTTGATGCTACAGTTTCCTGTTTCTGAGGCAGTAAGTCTGAGGGTCTGGAAATACCAGCCATTCAAGGCCTTACCCTTGATCTTTACTACCTCTGACTTATATACCTGTTCCATAGCCCCCAGTGATGCTCCAGACCTCCAGTGCAAAATGAATCAACACCCTCCCCTCCTTCCTCACTGTGGATGTGTAAATACCAAGTCAATTTGCTTTTTGAGAAAGCAGTGCGAACATATGGGCAGATGGCACTATTCTCCTTGCCAACTAGACCACTCTCACAGCCTTTATGTTTAGGGACTTGGGCCACAAGTCAATCAGCTCATCTTTAGAGATCCATCCCAGTAGAAATATGTTGTTGTGGCAGTCAATGAAAAATACGCTAACAGACTAGTTCAGAGCAAAATACAAGTCTCTCTTTGTCTTTACCGTGTGCCTTTTCTTTCATTAGGGCTGTGTACATAGTTTTCTTATCTCAAGGATATACCCGCAAGTTTCCCAAGTCAATATCTTCTCCCAGAGAGCTGACAGACCCGCTGCTAACCCTCATGGAAATAAGCAGATTAATAACCAGTGGTTTAGTACTAGCTGGACTTTATTAGGAAATCAGACTTAAAACAAGGAAAGTTGAATTAAGATCAGAATTATCCTTCACATTTTTTTTACCTCATGCTGCCAGAACTGTAGGATGGCTAAAACATCAGAGAAATAGACAGATTAAAAATATTTGTTAACTCACAAATCCCACCTACTTTTTCTCATTAAATGATGCATAATAATCAGAAAACAGGGTAGTACTATTTATCCACAGCACTCTGGACAGGTCAGTTGGAAACATTTAACCCAAAGAGATAATATCCTCCAAAAAGACTGAGCTGGTGATACAGTCACCTTACCAGCATTGCATCACATCTCTGGACCATTGTAAAGATGCAGACAAGTAGCATTCCTCTTCCCTGGCTGCCTCAGATGATCTGCATGGAGACAGGGAATACAATGTCAGGGAAAGGCCCATGCAAAGGATTCTGTTGCAGAGAAATACAACTATTTGTTGTGTCTCTTCTGGGGCAGAGAAATACAACTATCTTGGACAATTCTGTATGGGTTTCTCTTAAGACACAGAGAGTTTGAAAAATATTTGCTGAATTTGTTTTAACTTCCGTTTATATATTTACAATATTGATTTGGAAGAGATTTATTTTAAAAATCTAACTCATTAAGATGCTGAGAATTTGGAGATGCTCTTTCTTTCTCTCCATTTTTGGATTCAAATAGGGAAAAGCAGACCAGAAACAGAACAGACACCTCCTGAGTCCCCTTGCTAAACATAAAATGAAATTCAAATCACAGTAATGTGGAAAGTGAAAGATATTGTTGAGTTTTGCACTTGTAAGGTATAAAAGTGCTAACAAATCAGAGAATCCATAGCAAGACTGCATGTTGACTTATCTGAATGGAAAAAACATATTCCAGATCACGATCTAGATCCTTTTAAAAACTTCTGGAAGTAACTGAGATCCAGCACAGTTCTGGCAGTAACTTAGAGATGTGTGGTACCCTGAGAAATTACGTTAGATGGGAATGGAAATGGAAACAGCAAGGCTGAACATTACTGGCTCCTTAACTATCTGTTTAAGTTTATCAGAGACTCTGGAGTCATGTTATAACATTATATCTTAGCCCTTTTCTTTCCATGACTCCATGCAAGGGGCACAGTAGAGCCCTTGTTATGTTCATCTAAGTGTCAAACACTTCAAAAAATGCCCATAGGTGTCCTTAGGAAACAAGAGATTGAAAAGTGCTGAAATCCAAGGCATTCCATTAACTTTAATGTTTGTTAGTCTTGGGACTTGAAAGGTGAACAAGGATGGGTAAACTGCTTACGCTTGTTTACATTGAATTGAGTTGGTTTTCTAAATAGATATAAAAATGTGAACATGTGATGATGACCCTTTTATATCCTATTTTTTGAATCAAAAGAATGAGTTCCAGAAGTAGCTGAATTCGTAAATCCTGATTTCTTTAGATTTGCATCTCATAGTTAGTTGCTTGATTTGTTTTTTGCTGTATCAAAGCTATTTTGTCAACTCACTCCTTACTGGACATCAGTAAACAGATTACAGAATTAGTTTTTTCTGGTTGCTTTAAGTACAGCTCTGACTAGAGATCTCCAGTGGATAGAGAAGCAGTATCATCTCTGTCCCATCTCCATCCTTTACTGTTTTTCCACTAGTGAGCATGTTGATAACTCTCTTAGAGTCACTCTGCCATTCTCTCATTTTCCTAAAACATGAAGGAATTTTCTATCTTTGTGACAGCTTTCTCTGTCAAATTTGACTGTAATTGGACTATGGGTTCAGAGGTTTTAACTGTTCTGCAGCAGAAGGCTGTTGGAACTCTGTTTCCCATAGGACACCACCAGGACACACAGACAAAAAGATGGGCAAACAGGGTTTTCTACTCTAGAGCGGGATGCTTCAATTTTGGGCACACTTTCAGCTTCAGCCTGGGATTTCATTGTCTTTCCAGGGCTCCACATCCATGCTTTTATTCGTTCTGGTAAACTCAGCACTGTGCTCTGGGCTTGAGCGCTGTTGAAACTCACCTGTCCTTTCCCCACAGCTCTGCACACCTGCCTGCAGCCTCTTTGGTCAGTACTCTGCTCCTGCTCCTGGAACTAAACCTCTTGGGAGTCCTTGGCATTTGTGGGTATATAAAATATCTTCAAGTAGAACGAGCACACAGGGCTCAGCCTGCGCGCAGCCTCCTCATGGAGCCGTCACTGTGCCCACGCAGCAAGTTGTGCTGACAGAGGTGTGGGGCAAGAATATAAGGAGAGGGAAGGGCATCTTGACAGTGTTTGGTGGCAGTGACATTCCAGATAAATTTTAAGTGGATGATATCTCTTTAGCCCACATGTGAATGGATATTTACACCCTCAAAATATGATTACATCCTTCATTCATTTCCTAGTTCAGGTGGAACAGATGATGTAGCAGAGAGAAGGCATAAGGTGAGAGAAGAGCTAATGGCCTCTTTTACAGGTAAATGCCGGGAACTCCTCATCAATGTTTGTACAACTCACCATTCCTGCCTCCTGCTCCTCATAAACATGGATAATAACAGGTATAGCACAGATCTCATTGGTATTCCTATGGAGAGCAATTAAAACTTTGAAGATGCAAATGTTTGACATTGTTTATAGTCCAGTTGGAAACAGGAAATACCAGAAATTACATCAGCTCTCTAGATATTAATAAATCCATGTAAGCATCTGCTTCTCTTATTTGTTAATTATTTGCCAGTACCTTGCATAGTAAGGCTCTGATCTGATTGGGAATCAATGGGGACTGCCTGATTATAAGTGACACTAATTGATAATCTGAACTGTTGGCATCTGTTGTGTATCCATAGCAAGGGCTGTAGTTCCCCATCTCCTTGGCATTGTCCTCACAGTGTCGAAATAGGGAGAGGGACTCTTTCCCTGGATATTGTTTGTTATTTCCTTATTGTATCCTCTAAGGAAAAATAAATATAACCCAGAACAAATATGCATTTTCTGTCGAGGGAGAACATCAAAAGGCAGTAGGAAAATGAGTATTTTACTGTGGTCCTCACAAGGGAAAAGATATGCTGATGTTTGTCTGATGATGGGGCACTGTCACAGGGAGAGACATTAAAAAGAACTGTGATGCAAAAACTGCAGGAATTGGTGAGTGTTTGCCAGGACTGGATGACTTTGGACTTTGGTTCTACAGAACCAAAGAATAAAATACCTCTACTGGTATAGGTATACTTATACTCTTTATCATTCAGAACAGCTGCTTGGCCAGAGAGTTATACTGTTCATCCGAGAAAAACTCTCTGAAGGACACCATTAGAGATGGGATTACACAGCATTGTGATGTGAACAGTATAACAGGGGTATAAATCAGACTTCTGAAGTAAATTCCTTAGAAAGAGTAGTAGAGCAGATTCTCCTCTGATAGGTTGCCTCTAGAGTCCTCTGACTTCAGTGGTGTAAGGCCAAGCTACATAGGCTAGGGGATGAAACAAACCATTCATGATAAAGAAGTGAAGTTTTCTAAACAGCTTTTTTGAAGGGCCTTGTTAGAAGCTATTAAGAAAGTCTGAAATTCCCAGGCAGGGGAAGCCTTGAGAAGGATTAAAAATTAGTTAATTTTTAGAAAATAAAAGTCTCTTTCTCATTAAAGCAGCAAAACCTGCTGAGAACACAGATTTAAGATAACCAAGACTAGGGGCAAGTAGGAAAGTTCTAGAAGGGTTGGTAATAATATAATATAATAAATATAATATATGTAATATAACTTCCCCTTCCTGTCTCTCCCCTTCCTACTGCTGACTGCACACTCCTGCAGTTCTCTCTTGTGCTGGCACAGGCAGCCATGCAGCCTATATGAACTTGGCTCACGATAAAAAGAGAAACCTACCCCAGCAGCAAGCCCCAAATATAGATGGAGCAGACAAACTCTGACTAAGGCTAGAAGGAAAGTGACCACAAGCAGCAGTAAAGTCAACCTACACGTTACCACTGGCTGCAAGCAGAAATGGGATGGTTCTCAGAAGAAAACTTCTGTGAAGACATCTTTAGCTGGTGCAAGGTGAGTGTGGAGTGTTGTGGGCAATTTTCTTCTAGAGCCACATCTGCAGATAGAAATTATTCCACAAGATACCTGACCGAGATCTGCCAAGTTGTAACTCAGGTTGAGCCGTGGAGGAATACCAGAAGTGCCAATGGGTCTCCACCCTTCTCCTTTGCTTTGAAAGAGACATGATTTCCCTGTTGGTTTGTAAGTTCAAACTGCTTCAGAACTGCAGGTTTTTATGTGCTTACAGCTTGCAGTGTTAGCAAAAATCAGAACATGCCCACAGCCAACCCCAGCCAGATGGTAGCCCTATTTAACCATGGTAAGCAGGGACCATCACAGGTACACAGCTCTGACCACACAAATCCCACCTCTCATGCACAACTGGGGAAAGTCACACTTCTGTTTTAAACAAAGCTTTAATAACGTATATGTCCTGCAAGCCTAGACAAAGCCCTTGACACTTGGTTTTTGAATGCAAATTATTCAATGGCAAGTGGATGTTTACGTTCAAGGCAAGGCTGACCCAGACCTGCTTGTTGATCAGCAGGTAGACAAGAAACAAATATCACTGCTGGTCATTTTATTTGCGAGATGGGATTTTTGCAAGACCTGAAACAGTTACAGACAGTGCTAAGTCATTCTCCAAATACCACATTGGTAAAGCTCCATCCTTTACTAAGCACTGAAAGTTCAGCCCAGTAGCCAAGAGGGATGTAGGATTGTCGGCTTCTGTTGTGGCTCATGCCCTGAGTCATACTGTTTACAACAAAACAATTGACTGAAAGCCTGGTTCTGTTGTTGTCCTACTCTTTCAGGATCCCGAGTCCTTTCATTATAATGAATATGTTGTTCAAAATATCAGTTCTCTTGCTTAAAGTTCTTCCTGAGAACAAAAGGCAAACTCACTGGGGTATATTTCACTGAACACATAGTTTTTTGTGTTTTCCTGGAAAATGAAGAGTTGACAACATTACTAACGCTGAAGAAGAGAAAATTAATTTCATGATTGGCTAGAAATTATTCCAGTTTTAAAAAAAGTCCTGCAGTGAGAGCTTAAGTTTTTCTTTTTTTTTTTTTTTTTCAGTTTCTTAGCTTTACCATTCTGTATCCTTCATATATATAAAGAACAAAAAGCAAAAATCTGATGTCCATTTGATTATGTACATTTCCCAAAGAGGCTAGTGGCATGAGAGGCTACATGGGATCATCAGCTCTGGAAACCTCTCCTACACACAAAGTTTTTGAAAAGGACTTTGTATTTTCGCTATGTTTATGTATTGAGACTTAAACACACAAATCAGATATGTTTATGCAACCTTCAGTGTCTTTAAATACAGTACTTGGGTCAGTAGCCTTTAAACTTAATGGTGTGTCTGGTTGAAGTCTTCCCTCCTTCCTGCTTCTCCCTGCCAATAAAACATTGTCCAAAGTTGCTCAGTTAAAAACATGAGCAATTTGTTTGAAAATGGAGTAGTGTTAGCCCTCCTCCATTTTGTCAAACTAAAGCACCACGAAAAGGTTAAAAACTGACTAAAACACATTACAGGATAAATAAAAAAGCTTATGAAAACCGAGGGAATTACCAGACCTTCAGGAACCAAGAGCCATGACCTGAGAAGTAAGAACAAGAGGACACTATAAATCAAATCACAAAGCCAAAGAAGTGAACTTTGTGTTAGCCTTAGTCACTAACACAGTGAAATACCCACCACAGGCTATGATTGCCTCTCACTCACATAAGCCACTTCCTTACAGAACATGTGCAGTAAAATGAGACAAGAGAATGAAAAGCCAATGACTATAACTTCAAGTTGTTATGTATATGGAAAATGCCAATCTTTTATTGTCCAAAGTGTATAAAACTGAGCTCCTGGCATACTGAAGGTGTGCCAGCTTTGTGGATTTACCACCCGGCACCCATCTCTGCACAGAGATGAAACAGATATCCAGACTCTGGTGTGGACCAGCTCCTAGCACACAGTGTGAAAGAACCCATATTTGGGACAACAATATGACTGTTTGCCAGTGCAGTGTGTATTTGCACATGAAACATGATGGTCACGCTGCATCACTCCCAAGTACTGACAGCAATTATTTTAAATTCTATTAGATTAATTAATGGAAATCCTTTATGGACTAATAAACACAAAGGTGAGGATACAGTTTATCCTTAAACATCAAACCACTGAAAGATGGCAGTATATCAGCAAAAATATTTCTATGTGATTGTCCTATTCTTGTATTTTCTTCTAAACCCTTGTCTTTGGCTAGTCTCTGAGACAAGACACTGAATCAATGGACATTGTCTGATACCTCTCATAGTTGTAGCTGTACCTAAAAGTTAATATATGACACAGTTGGATGGTTGTTGACATCTCACATCTATTGTAGAGGTGCAGTTTTCATTATGGTTTCTTTAGACAACTTCTTTGTGTGCACTGTGTTTTTCTGGCCCATTGCTTTTCTTCTGCCTTTCCAGAAAAGTTGCACAGATGCAAGACCTAGTCCACTTTCTCTTTGTTCCTCAGTAACTATTCTAGGTAGAAGAAAATACTGCTGTTAATCAGCTCATTTTAATATCTAGCAATTTTTACTGGTTGTCCTTTGAAAGAGACAGAAGTTCAGGTTTCTCTTTTAGCATCTGTCTCTCTGATGTTTCACTTGTACTATGTTGGGGATATTTGTGGCCAGGTAACACTATGAACTGGAGCTGCTCTCACCTGGCAAAAATAATTATGGGCACCAAACAGAAAATGGAAAACAGCTCAAAATCTGGGTTGAGTTCAAGTAAATGTTTTGTTTAGAAAAACAACAGCAAATATTGTAACTTGTACTTTGCATTTCAGCACTGATTTGCTAACTTACCATCACATCTTCTGGTTTGGATTGAAACACTGTGATTATTTCCCCAGGTTTTGGCGTGATCATCAAACAAAAAGCTTACTACTTGATCTCCCTGACTTAGAAAAGTCCAGCTCCTACCTTTACCAGTACTTTCAGTGTGACCTTGAACATTTCCTTCTGTATTCGAGCTTCTTTTTACAAAATAAAGACAATGTTTACAGTCTCCTTCATAAAATACTTTGAGATATGTGGATGAAGAACACTGTAGGAGGTCTAGATTATATGTAGTCAAAAAGAGAATAGGATTCACGTGACTCTTACTTGTTTTCTGTAAATATTTACAACTCTTCTGATAGAGAAGGCTTTAGAGCCCATGAACCAAATATGATTGAAAATCACAAAAAACGAAAACACTAGTAAAGTGCACATCATTAGCTACAGTCCTGCTGGGTGTGTCTTTGATGCTATTGTTAATCGCCACTTCACCAATTATCCTTTGAAGAAGTAAAAATAAATCACAGAGAGATTGCAATTATATTTCTTCTTGGTGCTTTCATTGAAACTGATCTGATATAGAGTGAATAATGTGTTTTTCTTTTCCTAGGAAACCACATTTTCTCAATGAAGTTTTTGCAGACTTGCACTAATATTGATTCCTAGAATAACTGAGGTTAAAAGGAATCTCTGGATAACTCTGGTCTCATTGCTCTCTCAAAGCTGGTCAACTACATCAGGTTGCTCAGGGTCTTACCCAGGTAAGTTTTGAAGAATTGAGATCCCCAGCAGACGTCTCTGGACCCGTTCCAGGGACCGTTCACCGTTCTTCATAGGGAAAATTTTTCTTAACACCATGTCAGAGTTTCTCAACAGCTTTTGCCTGTTACGTCTCATCCTGTCACCCTGTACCTCAGAGCAGGGTCTGCTTCTCTAGACTGTCTCTTTCATTCAGACATACTTCACACACCTTACTGTACACTGACACACAAACCAGAGTCCTGGAAGGCAGCCATAAATAAACCATCCTCCCGCTCTGCAAATAAGTTATCAGGGAGCTGATAAAGACCTTTTATACAGCTCAGGTCTTTAGTTCAAACCAGACCTGACATACTCTTTCACTTTCATGTAAATATGCTTTTTTTTAACACCCTCTATAACTACTAAACTCCACTCCAGCACCAGCTTATCCTCCTTTATTTTTTCCCCTAAACGTAAAGAGACCCTGACATCTGTGAGTTTTAGGCCACTGGAGTCGAAGAGTTTATCCCAGGGAAATAACACTGTATGCTTGCCCTCTTTTTATATTCAAACTTAGGTGCCTGCTACTGCCCTCCAGATGTTGAGGGAGACAGAGCTCTTACCTGACTGGTGCAACCACACTTATGTTCTTCTGTTAACATGCAGACTTGGAGATCTTCAAAGTTCTGATGTGAACAGACTGGCACAATGGCAAATGACCAGTTACATTTTATTTACTTGTCACTGGAATAAACTATATTCTGACCAGATCAATACACTAAGTCATTCCACACTCACTTAAAGCAAACAGAACTAGGAGATTACAGACATCAAAACCTTGATAGCAGCAGCTGCAGTCTTCATCTCAGTGTGTAACAACTTGGTAAGCACAGAAATACAATATCAAAAGAAAATTGCTATAGAAGAAATATAGTTTGAGCCTTACTGTTTTAACTTTGTTTCAACTTTGTTTCAGCAAACAAGTCCCAGAGTGAAACTGGAGACCAAGTTCCCTTTTTTCCCCCATAGGATTGAGGTAAGACCTGACATTGCCTCATCCAGGATACAGTTTAAGTGCTCTGAGACTTTCATTTCCTCTTCAAGCAGATTCTACAGCACAATACATAGCTCAGTGTTCTACTGACTTTATTACAAAAGTATTTGAGGTTACTGCTCAAGTTCAGCACTCAGATAAGCCTGATGAAGTGTCGAGTCAGTTGATAATGGGAAGAGTTATTGGCTGTACATCCTTGCTCGCTGTGTCCACCTCCCGGCCTGCGGCTCGTGCGATGTGGAGTTATGTCCACAGCTGCTGAGGACTCCAGATCAGTGGGATCATATCCACATCACATTGCTGTAATGCCCTGTGGGCGTAAGGCAGATACTGTTTTCTATGGTGGTCAGCACTTTTCCAGCCTGGCAGCATAATGTTTTTCTAGCATGAAACTGAAATGGTTATGTTGCATGCCTTAGGCTCTTGCATAAGTGCATGTAGAGGTGTTTTGAGGGTGCAAAACCTTCTGGGGTATGACTAAAGGATTATATATGGCAGACCTGATGCTGCCTTATCCAGACTGGCTTTTGACCAGAGAGAACTACCTCCAAAACTACACTAAAGTCTTATATAAGAGAGAATTAGTTTTCTATCTCAAGGGGAAAAAAACAACAAAAATAAAAACCCAGTAGCAAAGCCAACCAATCACAGAAAGAAAAAAACCACCAGACCAAAACAAAACAAACCCTAAATCTCAGTGCATTACATAAAGTAATGCTTATTTAATAGAGATATCAAGGAATCAGGACAAGCAGTGGGCTAGAGAGCTGCGTAATTCAGTGTGCATTTGTACCAGCAGAGAGTTATTCCAGATATATGTATGGAAAGAGGAAACAAGGGAACAGTTACTGAATGAACAGAGTTTTCCAGGGAATGACTTGTAGACAGAAAAATATTGCAATCATTCACACTAATATAAGCTGAAAGCAAGGGGAACCCAGCCTGCTGGCAATATGAGACACCCCCATCTCCATGTGGTGGAGAAGCAGAAGGACCACACCACACACCACAGAAGATCAAGGAAACAGGGTTTTCCGGGGTTGTTCACAGGCAGAAGATAATACTGATCACTAGCATCTGATTATAGATGGCGTTAGGACGGCTTAGCCTGTGGATCTCAAGGCAACTCAAGACCCACTGAGACACTTCTTGGCTCATTTCATCCTTCATGTGCAGGTCTGGACACCCAGCAGCCCCCATCTGTGCAATATATTACTATCTGTGGTGCAAGAACTGCACCTAGAATGTGCAGACTGTTCAAGGAGTTAGGTAGGTCACACCTTGCTTAAAGACTTAGAGGGGACCCAGGATTTCTCCTTCTAATTAAAAAAAAAAAACAAAAAAAACAAAACCACAGAGTAAAACCAAATCAACTTTTAAAATGGCATGTATAGAAATTATTAAAATTGCACATTTTACCAAAATGACCCTCTCAAGTCAGACTCATGCCTGTGAAGAGTTCGAGACAGGCTAAAAACTTGGATTTAGTTGTAAAAGAGTAAAGAGACCCAATTATAGTATGTCTTCAGAGGGAATGTATTTCATTTTTCAATTCAGTAACCATCATTCTCTCATGGATCCCTTGCAGAATGATCTATCTCTGACAAAAAAAGAATATTGATCTAATCTTACTGTTCTCAGTAATATCAATAAATAGAGTGATTAAAAATAATTGCTTGTTTCTGACATTATATAATTGTCTCTTAATAGAGCTGGTCAAATAATTTAATGGAATACTATGGTGAAAGAATTAAAACAAAAAATTTCTGTCAGAATATATCAGCTTCTCTACTGTATTTCATTATTAAAAATCTCCAGTTATTTGTGGATAAATTCTTTATTGTCTCCAGATAATATTACTTTTATAAAGCCATATAGCTGTATTCAATATCAATTTTTAAGTTAGAGATAGAAAAGCAGTTTGAATATGCAGTACTTCTAAAACCGAAAAGGCAAAGAATGAGGCAGTGTTTGTATTGATCTGTGTCAAACAGAAGACAGCTGTTAAGATTTTGGCATGCATTCAGACTGTGTGTTTGCTTTTCAGAGACAGACCAAAATCTCCATAGGCCGTAAGTTAAAGAATAAGGAGAATATTAATGACTAATAGGTAAAAGGTAAAGCTTAAAAGGAAAAAAATGTTCCTAACTAAACTTTATCTCTATTTGTAGCATGTTTTCCTCATATGAATTCACTCTGCAAATCAAAAGAACCACTCCAAATCAGAACTTCACAAATATGCAAAGTAATTCACGCAGGAATATTAATTCTAAACCACCTTTATGGAAGATGCTGAATTTTGTGATGGTTGTGGTATTTTTTTCCTAAGAAGGTGCAAAAATCTCATCAACCTACATTGTTGCTTCAGACGTTCTGCAGAGCAGTATGACAAAGTGCTCATGTGCTGAGTGTTTACAGATTTGAAGTCTGGGGTCGAGCATGGCATGAAGCTGTGCCAGGGTTGGTTTATGCTGGATGTTAGGGAAAGGTTCTTCACCCAGAGGGTGGTTGGGCACTGGAACAGGCTCCCCAGGGAAGCAGTCACAGCACCAAGCCTGACAGAGTTCAAGAAGCGTTTGGACAATGCTCTCAGGCACAAGGTGTGACTCTTGGGGTTGTCGTATGCAGGGTCAGAAGCTGGACTCGATGATCCTTGTACTCCAGCCCAGGAGATTCTAGATTACATGTGCCAATCCCTCCTCAGCGGTGAGCGTGGAATCCTGTACCAAAATTACTGTAGACTTTCCTAGTGTCAGTATGGATTTCTAGCCATTTTCTTGTCACAGCTCATCATTATCACCCTGAAGCTTTCTTTCTCTGGGTTTCACTACTGGTAGCACTATGAAATACTCGTTCTGTGCAAAGAAAGATACAAAATTTACACAGTGATGTGTACAGCAACAACATGCCTGCCTGGTGTGAGAGAGGAGGCCTTGAGAAAGGAGTAAACAGGATACAGTGTGGAGGGGTATGGGCATGGAATGATAAGAGCTCAGAGACAAAGGCTCGTTCTGAAGGTCCCAGCCCACCAATGACCTGTTAAAGAAACACAGACCTGGACGTAGGCAAAACTCTTTGCAGGAGTAGCCAAGTGAAAAGAGGACAAGTATTCCATATACATGAAACAAGTAAACTCAGATTTAGTATGGAGTTGCAGACCAGTGAGGAAAGAGCAAGGTGTGAAGGCATTAGAGAAAACATGCAGGGGGAGAAGGAGGGAGATTAGGAGAGAGAAATCAGCACGGTAAAGGAATTTGAATGCTGATGATTTACTCTGTCAATTCCCCTCCAGCTAAGTGGAAACCATCAGCACTAGGACCCAGAAGAGCAGCAGAGAACAAGTGTAACACCAGGAAAAAGGAAGGAAGCTAAGAACTGTGTGTTCAACATTTTAAGCTTTATTATTCTGGAGAATTCTCTCCTTATAGCATTCTTATTTTTGTTTTTGTATAGTAATAATTGTGCCTGGACTGATAATGATTTTTTTAATTAGCTTATTAAGATTTCATTTATACTATTCATAAATCCTTATCTTTACATGCAAGGTGCATTTACTTTTTTCACATAAGATTTTGAGCATAGTATGGCTTAGGTGTGGCTGCCTAACAGAATTTAACACATTCTGCCTGGAGTCATCTGTTGGTGACCTCAACTATGTGGCAAGGAAAAGCTATGCTGAGACTCCCTGTGCACTCCCTGGAAATCCAAAAAAAACTTCTTAGATACAGGGAGCAGATCTTCAGTCTGTTGATGGCTGACAAATGCAACTCTGAATTGCCTGCTGTGACAACTCAGGAGGAAATTTTACACTGGCTCAAAATTATAGCAATAACCCCTCACATGAGGCAGAAGCCTGATTTCCACTATTACAGCTTTTTTCCTATAAAGCCTTAGGAAGGAAGACTTCCTGGAACACATAAGGTACAAATCAGAATCACAGAATCACAGAATATGCAGAGTTGGAAGGGACCCACATGGATCATCGAGTCCAGCCCTTAGCCCTGCACCAGACAACCCCAAGAGTCACACCATGTGCCTGAGGGTATCATCCAAATGCTTCTTGAACTCTGCCAGGCTTGGTGCTGCGGCCACTGCCCTGGGAAGCCTGTAAATACATATCTGTATACTTCTTTTTGGTACTGGCTCTGTCTACCAGAGTTTCCTCAGTTGTCCATGGAGTTGCCAGTAAATTCTGGATTCTGTTTTCCAGGTACTACATGTTAGTGCATGAATTTTTGAAGCACTGTGCAGAGATTTAGTGCTTTGATTTCCATTAAAATTAGTGGTTGATTTGTGGCTAAATCACTGCATGAGAAATACCCCCCAAAATGAAAATATGTCTGTGATCCTAAATATTCCATTTATTAATTTTTATAAAATGTATTTATACACAGCTAGAAAAAGACTGAGGGTCACTGTTTCTTTTATGGGTTGCAAGTAGTACAGAGAGGCTTTTAATACTTGTGGTCTGTCTTAATGGCATCTGTTTCTGTGGAACATCTAAATAAAGTTAGTCTTTATGGTGTTTCCAGTCTGACACTGATCAAAAACAACAACAAAACCATTTCTACGGAATTTGGGAAATAACTGCCTGCACAATTATATATATTCTTTGTATATAAGCCCATTAAAGAGGGCTTATACAGAGAGGCCTGTTAAAACAAACCCTCATGGTGCTAGCTGCTGCACAGAGTAACAACATAACCCCAATCCTGCTAAGAGGGGATGGGTTGGACAGCAAACACATGTGTGAGGAAAGGTAAGGTACTGAAGAGATGGAGCCTTCGGGAGCCTGAGTGATGGATCCATGGAGCCTTCAGGTTCCCAAGACATGCAGTTCCGTGCTCTGCATATTGACTTACCCTAGAGAGCCCTAAATCTTTTCTCCTGAAATACTGGAGGTGGATGAATAGCAAGAGCAAAGGAGAACTCCAGGAATGTATCTTCAGGGTCTAAGAAAAAGTAACTTTCAACACATTCAC